AATTCTAAGTTATAGCCTATATACTATCGATTATAAAATCAATCTATTCACATAATGTGGATTATAATGGGCATGAGGAAAGTATCTTACAGGGTTTTCAGGGTTTGTTTGCCTGCTGCTTGGAAAGTGTTTGAACTTGAATCACTTTCACACATTTTAATTTCAAAGTATAGCCTATATATCTTACAATACTTTATAAAAACATGTCTATTTTGGGAAAAATAACTATTAAGATCTTTGCTTTATACGATATATGACCATCCTGCTGTATATTTTGTAATAAATATTATTGGAGTAACGTTGATGGGAGTTTTTATTACTAATTAAAGGCACAATATGTGATTTTTGCCCGCTAGAGGGCACGTATTCAAAAGAAACAAAGGCGTAGTTTGATGACACCGTGACTGAGTGTGGAATCATGGGAGTTGTGGTCTTCATCCCCACAGCCGATGCAATCCGACGGGACTCGGGCAGAAATCATGTTCATGGATGAGCTAATGATTTGTTAACGTAGTAGAATGAAGCAGGGTGAGGCTGAAAGCCGTCGAAGCGAAACGAGGCCGCTGAACGAGCGCAACACACGGGACCGCTTCCGCTTCTTCCGGTCGTGCGTATGTGGGGGGGGAAAAGCAGTGCTGTTTTATCATACTAGATACATTTGAAAGTTCTGTTATAATGCTACTCTGTGCGGTCGTAACCGGTCTATTAAAATGCACAATATATTAAAGCGTCTTTGGTGTTTCCATGTTTTCTACAAAACAAAACCGGAAATCGAGGGGTTATGACGTCATTGGCAGGTGACACAATGACACTGTGGACACGGTGCGTGTCACTAGTTAAAATTGCTTATTTCTCTGGATTTAAACATTCTTCGAAACATTTGGGATAATGTAAGTACACAAGTCAGCAAAATATATAACACTGTTCTAGTGGATTTTGGATATTTTAATAAAAAAATTTACATATTGTGCCTTTAAGTCAGTTTGTTGAAAGAGTGTTTGAAATATTTTAAAGTGAAACTCACCGCGCAATTTTCACATTCATGACATTTCCAAGATTAACCACATAGATTTTTGGCAAGAAATCATAATGGCTTTTGTTTGAGGAAAATCATTTCTGTTCATGAGTTGAAAAATCCGGAAACAGGAATCGGGTGAAGTCGAAAGGGAAATTCACCTCATCCTATTGATTGAGAGCCCGAGACTTTAAACAGATCTTTTACATTTGGTGACGTATCAGGCAAGTCTTGATATAAACTTGTGTTTTTATACAGGATGAAATTATATAAAAATAAAAGACGCGTTTATTTACATTCTAAATAAACTTGTTTGCTTCTCACGGTTGACATGTTGCTGTATTACCGCACTTATTTAGCTGAATGAAATAATTCTAGTAGCCTAAAGGTGGATGAAAAAGTCGATTTCTGGTGATCAAACCCCTTAAACATAATTTTCTCGTTTTGACTTATATAATCAGACTTTTTTTTTTTTCCTTTTTTTTTTTTTTGGGAGATGTGAGCGAGGAGCATCGAATGAACAGGTAGCCTGACAAGTTGTTTTGACATGTTTATACAAACGATATCAAAGGGGAAAAAACACCAATATCATGCATTTCATAAATAGGCTATAGTTAACGATACACATTATTAATAGACATTATTTCTCCATTTGTTTAGAGCGTCTGTTTTAGGGTGGTTTCATGTCCCTGGATGAGACAGTGGGGAGGCTTTTGAAGGGAGAGGGACTGGAGGTGACCGAGCTTTACTTTGCTCCTGAACAGAAGAAGCCGGTCACACGCAAAAACACGTGCTTTGCGGTCTGTGCGCTCATCTTCAACTCTAAGGTAATGTCAGCATTGCTATGAAGTGCAAACTTAACATGGAAAATGTCTTATGAAATCATCCTCCCAAATAACAATTCAGTTTTCCCAGCTAACAGGGAACCTTCTTCTCAGAACTTTGTCTAACGGTCTGACAAGGTTCTCTTAAAGTTACTCCAGTCCACACCGAACGGTGGTTCAAAGTTATCTGGTTTTCTAAAGTATTGTTCCCATAAAGTTGGCAAAATGATAAAAATAGAATGTTCCCTTACAGCTCGCATAACCAAGAATGAGAACATTCAGAAATAACGTTTTCATAACTTAAAGAGAACATTCTCAAAACATATTTTTGTTAGCTGGGTTAGAGCTGAATAACTTCCTTGGGCTCTGTCATTAGATTAAGTTTGTGTAAGTTACTTAAAAAATGTGATATATTTTAAATACAAAGTGAATTAAAAATAGCCTAAGTAAAGATAATTAGCCTTTCTAATTATCCTTTTAGCAGATCCATCTGTCTTGCTGTAAATTGCTAAATTTAGCCAAATGCTAAATTCTTAATACTTTGTTATTTGCAATTATATCACATACATTATAGTGATCGATAAACCTGGTTATTCCAAAAGGTTTAGGTCCAGATTAATATGTCATATTTGTGGCTAGTGCATAAGAGTTACAAATAAAGTCCAAATACATGTGCAATATGTTCTTATATCCATGCAAAGTAGAGTTTTCTCAAAATGACTAGAGTAAAATGTCTCAGTCTTTAAAGCTGCACCATGTAACTACACAATGTCTTCACTCAAATACACTGTGATAAACTAGTAATAATTATCTATATTGCAGAGCTGTCAAGTCAGGACAAAGTTTACAGAAAATCTGAGAAAAGTAGCTTCGGCTATGTAGCGTGAAGTTGAATGTTTGGTGTCCCAACAAACTAGAAAAACTGACCATGAATCATTCAAAATTATAAAAAATTATGCCGTTATTTATTTGTCCATCCATTCTGATTGCTTTTCCGGCCAACCAAAACAATGTTCTTTCGCAAAATGCATGCAGGTTTATTTTTTTAGCCACTATAACTATGTATCTTATTAGTTACATAGTGTAGCTTTAAGGTGTGCGTGCATATGTGTCTTTGTTTCACAGAACGAGGTGTTGATGATTCAGAAAGGCAAAGGCAGTGTGTCGTGGATTATGGTATCTCCCTGCAGGTCGTATGGAAGATGGTGATAGTATTGAAGAAGCCCTAAAGAGAGAGGTGAAAGAGGAGACGGGAATAGACCGCAAGCCAATCACATTGCTGCAGATTCAAGAAAAAGGGCCAAGCTGGATCCGCTTTGCTTTTCTGGCTGAGAAAATAGGTTAGATATGTAAACGTTTCACAACTTGCTTGTTAATGTAAGTATCTAATTTGTCTCACAGTTGCTTAGTGGTTCTCTCATTGCCTCTTCCATCCACCAGGGGGCTCTCTGAAGAGGCCAGAGGATGCAAATGCCAACTCGCAGCAAGCTCAGTGGTACGATCACGAATCTCTGCCTAAGAATAGTATTGCATGCCCTCCATTTATGAGCAGCTAAGTGTGAACACCTGTGGGATTCTGGGAGTGCAGCACAACGGGAGAATTCCCGGCCAAACCGACGGGGTCTGTTTAAACACTCTCGTGCTGTTGGAGTATAAAGAGGAAGGAGGAGGAAATCAGTCTCAGCAGCAGTGTTAATTTTGACAGCAAATTTTGATTTAGTTTTAGTCATAGTCTTTAGACTAAAATGCCATTTAGTTTAAGTCATCTGAATCGTTTTTAGTTTTAGTCTAGTATTAGTCGACTAAATATCATAAGATTTTAGTCGACTAAATCTACAGTAAATTTAGTCGGCTGAAAATTTAGATTAATCTTTAGGGCTACTAAAGTTTTTCAGTCAAGAGCAGTGCGTGATTTTCTGTCTTTTGTTGCTTGATTAACATCAATGACTCGGACAATAGCAACTAAATTAGGCTGCTGTCCCTTTAAAACCAAATGCACGGCTGCAATGGATGCAATGTCCTGATATACGTTCTCCCTACTGTTTACGTTCACTTAAGACGTAATCAGCCGTGTTTACGTGAATACTCGTCAAAACGGACAATTCGACATAATTTTGTATGTAATTCTCCGTTCATGTGACGCGAAAGAGTACTGGCGTGCTGTGAGACACGCTTCGTG